ACTTAGCGCGTTAATTTTTCCAATAAGTCTTTTTAAAGGTACAACATTTCTCTGGTTACTGTCTATTAACCGCAAATCAATTTTATCAAAAAACGGAAGCGTAGAACTGTGTGTTAATATTGTATAAAACGAATTTGTAAATTTCTCAAATGTTTGAAATAGTTATTAATAAAAGTAATATTAAAATACACTCTTTATGTGTAATGTTTAGACATAAAATGATTGTAATAACGTTTTATAATATACCTTATACTTCTAAAAACTACAACATGTAATTAAAATAATTCTATTACAATTGTCGGTTATCACAAAGATGATTGCTTGTTTTTCTCATTAACAAATTCTTCTGCATCTACAAATGAATGTGCTATGTGTCCGACTAACTATTATATTTATATTCCGGAATTGATAGCAATGCTGCAGTCTTTTCAGTTGTCTAAATCTGTAAAAAATGATATATGAATAAAGAGAAAAAACTATACTGTGTTCAACGAGAGAATGATCTTGTTCTGCGCGAATGGGAAGTGCAGATATAACAAGGGAAGTGGGGCTATATCCATTAATGTATTCATAACGTAACGATGACATTTCGATATCAAATTCTTCTTTCATTTTATTGTGTAGAATTTGTGAATTGGCAGATTAACTGTTTAATGATATTATTTTCGCGGGCGAAATAATTATAATGAAATACGAGAAAATAATTAAAGAGTAATTTAGTTATGTGATAATATCTCCTGGTACGAAGTACTAGCAAGCTGCAATACAACTCTTTCAAGACCGTCTTAAGTATAGTCTTAAGATGGCGTTTCGATTCATAATCGCAACTTAAGATAACCTTAAGCTCTCGCCTTAAGCATTACCTTGATTAAGACCGTCTTCAAATAAGACAGTCTTGTATGACGTAATAACGTATCAATAAGACCATCCTCGTCAAGTTCTGTTCAATGTGCCTTTAAGATGACCTTGTTTGAATTTATCGTTAATGAAAAGGTTAGAGTACAGTGTAGTATATCATATTATCAGGGATGGGAAAGTTACTTTGTAAAAGTAATTAATTACAGTTACAGTTTTTTCTTTCAAAAAGTAATTAATTACCGTTACAAGTTATTGACTCTGAAAAGTAATTCGTTACAGTTACTGAAGAAATAACTTTAAGTTACTTTTAAGTTACTTTTTCATCAGAATTTTCACTAGTAGCATCGATACTAGGGCTTCAGAAACGTTACCCAACTGCCTTCGTGTATCGTTTTACCCTTGTTTTTCACCTAATATTAAACAAGAATGATACACAAGGTCATCAGAGTAATTAGGACAATTAAAAAAAAGACTGGTTTACATTTACATGTTATAAAAATTGTATTGAAAAAGATAATTGTATGGCAAATACGTTTTTCGTTAAAGTAATATAAATGAATATGAAATAGCACATATACAATGTTTTCTTACAAACAATATTCTTTTTATATTCAGCTAAAAGTTGCAAATAAATTCTAGATTCCAAATTCCAGCATTAATCCAAAATATTAATAAAAATTCTTATTAATTTTTAACAGAATTTGGTATTCGATTGTATCATCGTGTAAATTCCCTTTCTGTGGTGTTACTACGAAACCACCAATGCTGAACATTCGTTCGACAGAAGCACTGGGAACTTGAATATATGGGGCATTCCATGCCAAGTGGGCCACCCAATTTTTGGGCTTTCTCGTCGCAGCGATCTTTTTGCTTGTCATTAGTGGGCTTGAGAGGCAAGTTTGAAAATGAAGTGTTGATGTTTTCTTATAGAAAATTGAACGCACTTTCACGTAAGAATACTCTTTTTTCGATCAGACCGGTTTACGACGATGTATATCAGTTTTGAAGTTTTCAAAATGGCGGCGCGCTTAAAAGGCCAGTCTCAAATTTCTTTTAATATAGCTCAAAATGTAGCCCCAGGTCTCTACTTTGTTCCTCTAAAAGGACTTAATGGCACACTCATTCGTTTGGGAGTAAGAGCTAGGAAAGTGAGGCAATGTTGCTCCGTCCCCCTGCCGCACCACTCATTTTCCTCACTTTCCTAGCTCTTACTCCCAAACGAATGAGTGTGCCATTAAGTCCTTTTAGAGGAACAAAGTAGAGACCTGGGGCTATATTTTGAGCTATATTAAAAGAAAATTGAGACTGGCCTTTTAAGCGCGTCGCCATTTTGAAAACTTCAAAACTGACAAACATCGTCTTAAACCGGTCTGATCGAAAAAAGAGTATTCTTACATGAAAGAGCGTTCAATTTTCTATAAGGAAACGTCTACATTTCGTTTCCAAACTTGCCTTTCATGCCCACTAATAACAAGCGAAAAGAGAGCTGCTACGAAAAAGCCCAAAAATTGACGGCTCTATAGTTCGGCAACCAGTTGACCTACAGGTATATTATTCGGCATAGAGTCTTTATTCATCAAACTGTTCAAGTTCAAGCAATATGAACGAAATCCATGAAACTTCGCAAAATGGGTGGCCCACTTGGCGTGGAATGCACCATATGTATTGTGGCGTGACACTTTGTGTCCGTCACTCGTAAGTGCACTGGCACGGAGATCCTGTGTCCTCTAAACTCGAAGGGCGAGGGCACATGCGAGCGTGCCAAATTTCTATTTTTGTTTCGTTTTGTATATTCTTTTATATAAGATATTTAGTAATTTTTCAGATTTTTAAAGAACAATTATTAGTCACTTTAGAGCGTGAGCGGTGGTTGTTTAAATCTGTGTAATGTTGCCGCCTCACTCACGGAAGGAAGAAAGAAGACGACGCCGAGGAAGCAAGAAACCACCAAGGGAGATCCCGATCGTGTCCTCGAGGAGCGCGGTACACGCAGGTCGTATTGTTTTGGTTACCTTTGATAATTATGATATTAGTGGGTGATTATCGCACCTTTATTGCAGACGACTCGGAGAGAGACGTAATAAGGGACCGTCTCAGCACGGCCAGAGAATTGGCAGCCGCCTCCACCTCTGAGGAGAGCGATAGAAGACCGCCGATAAAGACGGAAAGCCGGCCAGCTAATTTGGAATAGCGCGCCGAACACTCAAAGGATACGCAACCCGCAGGACTCACTGTAATTGGTCGCGGGGTTGCGCGGCTCTAATAGACCAATTAGAACAAGGAGCGGCCCGATAAGAGAGGGTCTAGCGGCCTGCGTGGATCCGCGAATGCTCCCGATCATCACTTGCGCGGTGATCGAGTACTTGTGAAGAGGACGCAGGATCTCCGGAGCATTTGAGATCTGGCTCGAACTTTTGCCGTTGCCGATTCCGGATAGAAAGTATAGAGAGGACCGCTTCCAGTAAAGGAACGTCGAGGGATCGTTGTGTGGTGAGGCGAGCGTCATCTAATAATTCTGTAAAACCATCGATCGCGGTACGTGATATGCGTCTCGAGCGGAGCACACGTTAGGCTTTACTCCGATTTTTCGTTGCCGATTCCGGGTCGGTCGCCTCTAGGCGTTTCGAGTCATTGTTGCCGTGAATACGTGCCCTCCGCTCAGACGCTCTAATTTGAGAATGTATAATAGTGTAGTTGCTCGCCCTCGTTGCCGCCAAGTCACTTGTGTAATTGTAAATTATTGAGAATTCTTTAAAGTCGAGACTGGCGTTATTGCGCATTTGAGAACCGTTGCCGTCTACTGTAAAATTGTATATTTCAATTGTTCACGAAGTAATTATTGTTAATGTAATAAGATCTAGATTTTGTCGCACATTTCTTCTCGGCGAAGTATTGCCGAATTTACTTCCTATCGTCGACGGCCATTTAATAGTCGGTTCATTGTTATTGTGCCGCATACCAGAGCGCGGAAGGTCAACGCTGTAACGTACTTTCTTCCGAACACTTTTGTACAGTCTCTAACAAATATATTGACTTCTCTTTATTGTTCTCATTAATTTTGGTGCATTTATTTCAGCCTCTCTGTCTTTCTCCGATATTCTTTTCCGCTTACCGCGAACCACTCCCCTCTGCCAATTCCGTTGGCTGAGCTAGTTGTTTAGTTCCGTCGCGAGAATCCGCGTAATCTTTAAATCTTTGTCCGAGCAATTTATCTAACAATTTGTGCGAAGAGTGGCACGCTCTCTCGTGCCTGGCGCCCAACGAACTTTTAATAGCGACTAAGATCTTTGCTGAGCGAGATAACTCGTTAACTTTTGTAAAATCTCGAATCACGCGAGAATTATTAACGAACCGCACTATTGCTCCAATAAGTATTATTCATCTTAAATAAGAGCTTTCGCATCACTAGATTTATTTTTGGAGAACGCGACGAAGTTGTGCCGACACTTAAAAGTACGGTTACAGTATAAAGTAACTATTAAAGTAACTATTAAATTAGTTACTAGTTACTCAAAAAATGTAACTAAGTTAAGTTATAGTTACAGACGGAAAAAAGTAACGAAGTTAAGTTACAGTTACTGAAAAAAAGTAACTCTAACTGTAACTTCGTTACAAGTAACGAGTTACTTCCCATCCCTGCATATTATCTTAGTGAAACAGATATTTAAACACGTAATTGAAATGAATATCAAAGCAATTAATATAGAAGAAATTGAGGATATTGAAGATCTTAGAGCAATACGAATTTCAAAACGTTATATCCGCGATGCAAATAACATATTCGAATTTTACGAAGAATCGGAATTCAAAAGACGATTTAGATTCTGTAAGGAATCTATTTTATTTGGAATACTACCGAAAATAGAGGAACATTTGATGAAAATAAATAATCGTGGTTTACCTATTCCTCCTGCTATACAATTATTAGTCTGTCTATGGTTTTATGCAAGTGCAAGTTTTCAGGTTAGAAGTATATGATATTTATAATAAATGCATTTGTGTATATCTTTTTTCAAATTAAAATAACTTTTTTTTTTTAAATTATAGATGGAGACACAGTATTATTGTCACAATTAACAATGTCTAGAATTATTTTTCGTGTGTCAGCTCTACTTGCTAGTTTAATTAATGAAATTATTAAGATGCCCACTACGCAGGAAAGAAGAAATGAGAATCATCAATTATTTCGCGTTCTTGGTTATGGTAACGGAGCAATTGGTTTATCCGGAATTGACGGTGCAATTGATTGTATACATATACGATTAACACATACAAGATTCCATCGTCTTGATGAAGTTTATCGAAATAGAAAAGGATACTTTTCATTAAATGTACAAGTATGTGTACTACTTCAAAATTAGTAATAATTATTTTTAACAGATATTTAAATAATGCTAATGATACAATTTTATAATAAATATTTTTACATCTATTATAATACAGACTATTGTTGGACCTCGTATGGAATTTTTGAATATTATACCAGAATATCCTGGCAGTCAACATGATAGTAGGATATTTCAAAACTCAATGATATATATGCAATACATGGAGGGAAAATTAAATGGGATATTAGTTGGTGATTCTGGTTACCCAGTTTTATCATTTCTTTTGACACCAATAGGAAATCCTCAGACAGATGAAGAATTGATGTATGTATTAATGGATATACATATATATATATATATATATAATATATATGATTTTATGAATATATTAACATATGCATGTATGTAAATATTATTTTCAGGTATAATACTATTCACGGACGGACAAGACAAATTGTAGAGAGGACATATGGTGTATGGAAACGACGATTTCCTTGTCTATCAAAAGGGCTCAGTACAAAATTATTATGCTCTACATCTATTGTAGTAGCATGCGCTGTGCTACACAATCTTGCACTTATATTCCGTGATGAACTTTCTGAGGATAATGAAGATGATGTATATGATGAATATGAAGATGTTCCACTAAATCCACCACAATGGCAGCCAGGAGAAGGGTTTGCAATGAGACAAGCTCTTATCGAGCGTTTATTTCGATAAATTTTTTATATTCCCAAACAGCACAAGACGTCCTCAAGATCATCCTGAATATGTCTTAGGACATTCTAGGATATTAGAGGACATTCATATATTCAAGAGATAGTCCTGAAGACGTCCTTGTACTGTTTGGATTATTACTTACCAATTATACCTCGAATTATACTATATACTAAAAGATGCATTACTTATTACTAATTACCTATAGTATATTAATTTTTATATATTTTTATAATCATGACCATATAAAAAATATATGTATGTTGAATTATACCATTTATACGATAGTAACAAGTTTTTTTTATTTAAGAGATAAAATTACAAAATATTTAAAATAATCTGACTTTGGATTGTTTTATAATATAATATGTTATAGAATAATCTCTGAGACACAATAATAATATAAAAAAAAAAAAAAAAAATGTTGTATTGTTGTATTTTACCCCGAAATCTCTCGTCGCCGTAATATATACTAATCGTAACTAAATTATGAAACTTCTTTTTTGTTATTATTATTATTATTATTATTTATTCATTACTTAATGCATAAAATAACAGTTATTAAACATAATAAAATTAATATAATGAACAGTCAATATAAAATAGTTGATATAAACAACAGTCTTACGTCTTATTAAGTTTTATAAAGCTTTTTATAATTTTAAACTTACAAATAGTTAAGGGATAATATTTTTTTCTTTGTTTAATAAAAGTTCAGCTATTTGAGCCTTTTTTTCAGCTTCTGCAGCTTTTGCCAGCGACATCCTTAATTCTGCTTAATTTATTTCCTTTAAATGAGTTTCTTTAATAGCAACCATCGTTTCTTCATGTTCCAGTTTTATTTTGACCAACTGTTGTTCTTGCTTTATTATGTTCCTTATTCTTTCAATTTTTAGATCATCTTCTGTTTCTATGAACTTGCGTTTTTTCGTGGTCTTGCTTGTTCCCACTGTTATTTCTTCTATTATAACTTCTGTAAAAAAAAATATAACATTTAAAGATGTAAAAGAATCACTTTATAGACGTATACATTAAATATATTATTAATTAGAGGAAAGTGTATCAAAATACTTTTTATGGCAAATAAATTTGTTAAATGACGTAAGTCAAATATAATATGTTATTCAAAATGTGGGATTAGTAATACTTCTTAATTTTTTTAATATGGGAAATATAAAATATAAGTCTTATTTAATAAGCTAATATTTATATTTCATATATTTCATGTACCGTAAGAATTAGCCAATTACAGTCAAGAATTGTCAAAAACTTTCAGCTCTTTAATTGATTAATTTTCTTACGGTATGTCTTATGATTACTGTTACGGAAAGTGTGTAGGGCCCCCCAAGCATATATATTTGTGTAATAAAGAAAATTACTGTCATATACTTTAATAACATACCTTTGGAATCTGACGCTTTTGTTTCACATAAAGGTATGTTTTCCTTATCTGTCACTTGATCAAACTCAAATTCTATTGTACTATCATTTATATCTTGTACGATCTGTTTGTGATCTAAAATTTAGTAAAGAATAAATGCAAACAATTACTATTACTACTATTACTTACTATTAGTACTATTACTATTCCCAAATAAATGCTTACTTTCTATTTCATCATCATTCATATTTGATGAAAATAATGTAGGGGCTGTGGCCATTAAATTAGGCGCTATTAAAGAAACATTTGGATCTAGTTCTGAGGATGGTGTTTCTGGTCCGCCACCTGTAGCAAATCTAGCTTGCCTTTCTTTTGTTATAATATCTCTTTGAATTTGTTTTAAGTTGGTCCACACCCAGATAACAATTGGTGAGCGCTCATATTACTCTCACGGCATGATTGTCATGAGTTCGTGCAATAACGCACTCATGTTACTCTCACTAAGTGAGAGAAGCACGAGTGCGTGCGTAAAAGGTAGCATTATACAGTCATGCGTGAAGGAACATAATTTACATAAAATTCACGTTACCTTCACGCATGATCATCATACGTGCGTGCAAAAACGTATTCATGTTGCGTTTATGCATGCGGTAATAAAAATCGCGCGCTTTCCGCCATCTTATCATACGCCGAGCTGATTATCATTGAATTATTTTGTTAAAATAACAAAATACAATTTTTTTGTTAAAGGAACAAAATATTGTAAATTTTTTTATTTAACGATACAAATTTATTTGCTTACTTACTTTTTGTAAATAACAAGGTAAAATTTTGTTGCCATTACAAAATAAGTGTTTTTTTTAGTAATTTTAACAAAATAATCTGTTTGGGTAGACAAAATAGTTTTATTAAAAGTATATATAGACCATTCGAAACATCTCTGTCAATAAGGTAACAGTGGAGCAGTACGTTAGGTGAACGACTCAGAACTGGACCGTGGATCGAGTCACGAGTTCAAATCCTATCAGGCTTAAAAGTTTTTTCCTAGGTATTATTAGTCAGTTCAGCACTTAAGGAGAGGACATAAATGATGGAGAAAGAAATCTAATTTTTTTTTTTCGTGCGCGTCCGCATGCGTGAGAGCAATATGGTATTCAAATGAGGACACAACTGTCATGCGCATGACACTCACGCGTGCGGATAATCTTGCACGCGTGAATGCACTGTGAGAGCATTGTGCGCGCATTTTGTTATCTGGGCAGTTTTTTAAATTGTTGTATATTTCTCTACAAAAATAAAAGAATATTAAATAATTAATTTCTATGAAATATATCACATGTTACATTGAGACAATATTCTTTCTAGTTACATTGTAAAATTAACACTAGCTGAACATATGATAGTGTTAAAAATGGATGAATGACAGAACCCAAGTTTATTTTCTCCATTTTTATAAAATGTAGGTTAACTCACTATTGTAGCAAGCCTTTCAATTGTACGTATTATATTCATATTATATTCAGTTTGTTGACATAATTTGTTAAAATTATCTAATTATATTGTATAAAGAAATAAATATATCTTACCTCTTGCGTAATTAATACCGAATTATTAAATTCGTCAGAAATGTTAGTCCAAGCAACTTCTTTTTCGCGAAGTGTATTGACATTACTTTTTTTGCATTCAATAATGTCTTTATATTTATTTAAAATTTGTAAGAAAAGATTCTTTTCCGCAGGTGTATAATGTCTACTCTTATTACTTGCCATTTTTCGTTATTTCCGTATAAAAGTTTTTTGGAGAAAAATCTTAAAATACAAAAATTAAAAGAAACACAATTATAATAGTAATCGCAAGTAAATACACAACATTCAAATCCTTCTATCATATTATTGGTTGTCCTAACGGTATTATGACGGAAGTTCCCGAACGCAAATGAGCATTGTCTTAAGTACGATCTTTACAAAGGTAATCTAATATGAAACAAAATAATTCTTAAGTATTTGCTTATTCTTGAGATTGTCTTATTCATGGACTATGAATTCATAATGTCTTAAGATGATCTTCAGCAAATAAGATGATCTTCAGCAAATAAGATGATCTTCATCAAGATATTCTTAAGCATTACCTTGAGAATGGACTATGAATACTAGCCTATGAAAAACGGGCGGAGACGTGTGCGAAACAGATCAGTTTTCAGCTGACCTGAGATCATTATCTTGTTGAACGGAGTATAGACATAATTAATTTTGTAAAATGCTTTAAGCATACGTTGTATTCGGTCATTAACTATTACCCTTATCGGGGACAAGGCTAGTAAAAAATTATATAAGAACCATTATTCAAAATAAAAAATTATCCTCTTTCTAAAAACATTAAAAAAACTAAATGGAACAATATCTAATACCAAAGAACGTTAACTTAGAAGGCTCGAAAAAAAAATTTACTTCATAGAAAAGTGCCTTGTGTCAACGACAGCTTCCTCAAGATTTAATAAAATCTACATTGCGCACAGTATATTACACACGCAACAATATTGCACACAGTATAATAGAGAGTTTTTGTCGCACATCCAGATATACGGTGAACGTAAAAGTCACACAAAAGTGCTTGTGCAATTCGAATTATTTTTCACTAAATAACGTGGTTTTATGATTTAACGCGTTTGCCGTATGTCTAGATAACTTATTATCTTGTGTGCAATATGTGTTGTATGTGCGATAAGTTGTGTACAATAGTGTGGTCGTAGTAATTTCGGATGTCTTAAGAGGAAATTGGTTTCATCTGTTAAGGGGTTTTTTACGGCTGATGAGGACTCTGTGAAGTCGTAACGTACCGTATATTAATGTTATCATTATAATAAATTTATAGATATATTTAACAATCATTATTGCTCAATTTATTCTTGACCTGGGAGGTTTATTTTTAATTTTAATTTGTTAATTTATATTTGAGCTGTTTATAATTCAATTTCAATTTTTAATTAATAAAGATTTACAAACGGATATTCAGTCCAATGGACATTCATTGGACAATTTAATGACATTAGACGGTATTACGCATTACAGGTAGATGCCGATAGAAGCGCGTCAGTATCTCCTCGCGTGCAGAACGACCGCAATCTGCACGCCAAGCTGTCTTTTTCTTAAACGTATATTCATTAATAAATCGTAGAACCTATTATCATATGCCTAGTGTGTGACATAGAGAGAGTAAAAAGATATTGATATTTTTAATTATTAATCATCCATATAAAATATGAATATTTATTTAAATCGTATATTACATTTTGATTGATCAAAAATTACAAATACGTAAAATTTGATTTAAAAAATTTAAAATATGAAAATAAATTTTGTGAATGATTACATTTTTTGTAATAATACAATTTTTTGAAATATATGACAAATTATATGTTTATATTAGAACTTAATATTAAGTTCTCATTATTATTTACTACTTTTTATAATTAAATATAAAAAGGTAAATAATTACTCGTAAGAGGCACGTCCTTTCCGATCGTCTATAATCTCTCCCGATCCTTTTTTTAATTCTTCCAGTTTACCTGCTAGGATTCGCTCTACTAAATTCTTGTCACTGATATTCAATCTGTCATTGAGAAAAATGATTATGTCTTTATGAGATGTAATATGATAGGACGTATTTTGATATGAATCCAATCAGAATTTTTTATCATAAATTAATTTCTAATTACGTCTTCTTAT